ACACAATTCTTCAGATTATCAACTTATTTTTTTGCTAAACGCGTAACCAGACTCATTACATTATTCATCGTTTTAAAGATTTTGTGTAAAGGAAATCTGCTGTTATCTGGCGTTACTTGGAGAACACAGGATTGGCAAACTCTGAAAAATTCCTCGAATCGTAATCATAGACAATTTACGTATAACAGAAGAAGCATAGCTGGAAGATCAATGAATAAATTTGAGCTTTACTTCAATGTTACTCAGGAAATGGTTCCGAGTTGCAGAATCTTAGTATACTTTGTCAAGATGGATAAGGAGACTATCGGTGACAGTGTTGTTTATGACGTGGAAGATAAACTTGAGAATCAGGTACCTAAAAAATTCCGCTTTAGGCCAAACGTGTGAGCGCGTTTTAAAGCTTTGCACGAAATAAGAAATAAATATTGCCAATATACACAAAATATTTATCGACGTTTTGACCTCGGGTTATAAAGAGAATGACACAGAAAAATAAACCAAAAAGAACCGTTGTCAGGGAGACGCCGTATGATTGTGAACTATGAAAACAATAGCAAGCAATCTTGGAGGCGTATCCCAGACGAAAAAATACTAAAATTATTAACAAGAGTCATTCTGGTATAGTTAACAGACTCGCGCTTTTGATTAAACCTTGTTCATAGAGATTTCTACTTTCACCGAAAGCAAACGACATTTTCTTGCATGAGATGCAATAAATGATTGGGTTTTTTTGCTATTTGTTTATTTTAACCGCTTTTTCGCCCTCACAGAAGGCACGTGCTATTTTTTCTATCATACTAGGTAGCTCTCCTGACAAAATATACGTATAATATATAGTAAATATGCAGTAGCGTAGCCAGCCTGTCGATTTGTCCCGCTATCCTAATATTTTGGTGTTCACTGACTGTAAAAACAAAAGATTTCTAAAGACATGAATAATTATGATAACTCGAAATTTACATAGAGGGACAAAATCGTCAGGCTGGCTACGCCACTGTAAATATGTGCATAAGGATTGAGAGTTCTAAAATGTTTACCTGTTTTTAATAATTATTGTACCCTAATAGCATTATATCATCTAACTATCGTCCTTCTCAGAGCTCTAATCATGCCTACTCTCCAATAATAGAGAGGTAGATATATAACCGAGTGTGATTGCAAGGAGCAACCTAGTTTTAGCCATCACATATGAGCCCTGTCCGCCAGCGGTGCATGTCTCTGTTGCCTGTGATTTGATGGGCTCAAATATGAAATTCACGTACAATGAGTCTATAAATACCAATCAATGAAAGCAATATATTAAAATTGTTGTTAAGAATTACTGAAATTTAGGGATTGATCAGAGTTTGCTTGATATTAACTGCTGCCTTATTTTTAGTTGTATGTGAATTTCGTCGACGAAGAGAAAAAGCCCGGGGAAAAAACAACAATTGTTATGAAAGCCAAACCTGGCTCGCGTGTGGCTATTTCTGCCCTGGATAAAAGTGTTTTACTCTTGAAAGAATCAGATGAAATATCAAAAAAGGAGGTGATTAATACTGCTGAGTATTCATAATTATAACATCACCATAATTTATATAATTTAGACCATATATTATCTACTAACAAGCAGGATTTGTGTGGGAAATACTAAAGGGACAATTATATAAATTATTAAGACGGATGATACCAACGACATTGATGGATTCCTAATGCATCAGTGTCTGTCGTAAACGTCAGAAATATAGATGCATGTATAGCCTAATATATATGATAATAAACTAACCGTTTCCCTTGTCGATAAATCCATGATCAGGAGAGCACTCTATAAAATTAAAGGCTCTTAATTCCAACAAACGGAAAATTTTAAAGATATCTTAGCTTCACGAAATGGCAATTAAGTTTTAACACCGGAAATATGCTTCGAGAGTTTCGCTACGCACGAAAACAAGAAATGAAAAAAATTTGCATTGCTTGGAATGTTCTTCTGATGTGATTTATTCCTATTTAATATGCATGTGCGGCGAGTTTACTCAGAAGCGGAATTTTTCAATAAAAGTATATATAAGCTATTTTTACCAACTTTTTTTATCAACCTCCTATTTGCTCCTTTTTCGCTATTTATTTTGGTATTAAAAGCATGTCATTCAATAGTTAAAAGCCTGATCTTTCCGAATGCGAAAAAAATTCGTTACTAGAATGAGTAGCTCACGTACAATAGCGCGAAAAATTTGGATTACCTCTTTTTTAATACATCTTTTATAGACGTTATAACAGAGTTTTATATTGTTTATAAATTTACTTATTGGCTATCATTGCTTTAATTTGTATATTAGTATAGCAAAAATACAACATCGCAAAAAGCTTTGATGTTCGTGCCTTGTGACCTCACGCATCATTTGATTTCTTTGTAATTTTTCTCCTAATTTCGAATTTTTGTTTGCTTTATAGGCTATTAATTTTTTAAATCTACAAGAAGTCGGTCCAATGAACTCACGCCAGTACTTCACCTGTAGCCGGAATTTGAGAAAGCCTGCTAGAACAAATGACCAAGTCTCTCAAATATTTAATGTAAGTATGAATATTTTTAGCACAAAATTATATTTCAGAAAATGTATCATGCCACCATGTCTATACCTAATGGAAAGAATTAATCCATTGCGCAATTGTGGTTGATTTATCGCTAGATATTAATCTAATCGTTAAGTCTTTGCATATGTCTTTAAATTGTTTATGACATTTCCTTATATTCTGTTCTTAATTGTGATTGATTTTCGGTTGTTGTATCTCTAAGTTGTCTCTCTATAAGCGAAAAGGCCTCGACGGGATCGTATACACTATACGGTTAGGTGTGTTCTGTACTATTAATCAAACCATAAACGTGGCAATGAGCAAATATCGAAGCAATTTTACGGTCAAGTATGATATAAGCTGTTGTTTGTCTTGGTTATTGGGAACGTGGTGAATGGAACTTAATGCATGGACCGATTATGTTTAGGAACTGCACGCATTCGATTCTTTACATGCCTATATAATGTATTGTTAATTGTTTTTGTAAAGGAACTGCAAAAATTCGTTCCTTATTTTAGGAACTCTATTTTCGGAACAATTCAGTTGTTCTCCTATATAATAAAGAGCCATGAATGCGAACTTATATTTCGCTTTTGAGCAAAAGAACAACAGCAACCGTTTGTTCATTAATTTTCCGTACTCTATTATCGGAACTAATGCATGAATGGTTCCTTATGCGTTAATTAAGGAACGTTTCAATACATCATAAACTTAATTTGTGGTGGCCTTTCTATATAAACGTCTGCAAATGATTAAATATTACAGAAAGGACGCTTTTCATGTCAGTGACTCATTACGGTTTTGCATGGCAGTTCCTTCTTTACTTTTATTTTGAACGACCGGATAAGGAGGCGTGAATGATAATTTTGTTATTTCACTTTATACTATCTGCATTTCAATGCCTTGCGATTCTGTCAATATCAAATTCAATCAAAGGAACCGCATGTTCCGATTAATTAACGTTGCAAAACATTTCGGTTGAAAGAAAACAATATATTTATACACTTGTAGACTAATCATTTATAATTACATTGGTATTCTGCATTCTTGAAATTTGTGGAGAGGGCACTTGAAAATGCAAGTCCAGCGCATGTCAAACTTTTCCAGTCCTTTTCTCAGATAATTATCTTCCTCTTGCGTCAGTCGAATTACTCGTATCTGCACTTGCCTGTTTTATCTTTCGCACGAATTGGCGTTCCACTGACAGGGTTCTGCAAGGTATCATTGTTTTCATATGTTTTGACTTTTTCTTGACAAGGAACGTTGGACTCGCTGTATCTCAGTTGCTGCACGCACATGTCCATAACTTTTCCATTTTGATCGCGCAACTTTTCCATATGGGATCGTCCTTTTGGAGCGAAATTACGAGTTTGCAGCTTCCGATGATGAACTCTTGCTACGTTTGAGCTCTGTTTCTGGTCATGATACACGTCGTTGTGCTTGCACATCTAAGCTGCTCGCGCTTTCTGTTTCTATTATATGATCTGCCTATATCTTATCGGATGAAGGTATTTCCGTATTCCAGGGTTTCAATATCTAAGTCTTTCGTCCAGTGAGAACGCATCTGCATGTTTTGTCAAACATTGTCTTGCTCGCTTTATATATACTTCGGTGACGGAGAAGTTTTGAAGGACGGGCCCAGGTGAATGAAATATGCTATACCGTTCACGTAGCCAAGGCCGCCAGATTGTCCTATTTGCCAAACACTTTCTAAATGATCGTGAAAGTCTGTTCAAAATCTGGAAGAACATAAAAAAGTTCAACCGTTGACAACACCGATTATTCATCTTCGCCTGATCGCATCAGTACTTTACGAATTTGAATGCTCTGGCACCGATATTTCGGTTTGCTCCGCTTGTTTTCCACCGGCGGTCGTGCTTTGAAGCCAAACACAAAATGATCGCCCTAACTCAGAATCTGTAGCACAACATGGCATTGTTGCCTTGCTTGCCGTCGAACACGACTGCCTTATATCAGATGTTATTTCATGGCTTCCTCCAAGGATCGGCGTTTCAAAGTACGTGTGACGATGGGTGCTTTATTTTCACATGCTTTCGGCATTCTCTTTGATAGGAAAGAGCTTGATGATCACAATTTGGGGTTGTGACATGAGAGAATCCTTCTTTACCTCTTTCCAGGCGAAGTCTTTGGGGTTTTCGAAATGCCCCTGTGACACTTTTCCAGTCAATGTTTGTCTGCTGTTGTGCCATAGAACAGCGGGCGAGAAAAAGGCTGGCAACCCTTAAGCTTCTTATTATGTATATAATTATACGCACTACAGAAAATAGCTGTTTCAAGAAAATTATACTTATGTATGACGTGTCGAGAATTAGCCTCCGTTCAGTATCGTTTGTCCTCGACAAGTCTCAATTCACAAATTCGATTGGGTTTATGAAATATATTGATTAACAAATAAAATTAAAAGTTATACTAAATCTTCACCCAAATTCACGTTGCAGCTATGTCGAATTAATATCGCGTCTCTCGAGTCACAGACCGTTTCGCACACTATGACCCTCTATCACCAACTGACTCAATTTTGTGCAGATCCCTTATTTTACCCATATTGCTTCCCATTTCTGTGCAGTGCGTGTCATCACCTATTATTTCGTGCGCCCCGTTGTCGCTCAGTCCCGACACACTCCCCCCATATATCTTAGTGCTGTGATATATGTCTACAAAGGGTCTGAGCTAGTGCTACTGATTCAAGCTTAAATGCAATCTAATATTAGTGTCCTAATATGGATAAGTGTCACCGTTCATCTTCTTCTGCTTGATCCCGTAAGCGGATTGCTGCCGCTGCTGCTGCATCACGTTTCGGTCGGGGTTGGAAGGGAGGGGTGTCTGGGTTTAACGTGGTTGGAGGTGGTAAGTCACAGGAAAGTTCTATCGGGTAGAGTTGCTGTATTGCACGTTCAAGAATTCCATTTGGCGTCCTGATCTTTGCTCCCCGTACTACGTCATCACGCCCTCGAATCAGCTCTTCGACTACGCCCATCTTCCATAAATTTCTGTTCTTCTCCTCTCCTTCGATGATAACAGCATCACCACGGTTGGGATGATCTGCGTTTTTCCCATTATCTTGTCGGTGTCGATCTCTTAGCCCACGAACGTATTCTCTATACCACCGTCTCCACAACAAATCCTTGCATCTACGAAGAAACTTCGCTCTCTTCCGAAGGCTGTGGTCCTCAACGTGATAAGATTCCACTTCAGGTAAGATAACTGGATTTATCTGCAACATTCTTGCGGGGGTGAGAACAGTTTGTTCTACGTCGTCTTCAACGTATGTTAACGGTCGATTGTTCATTACAACTTCTATGTCTAGGATCACGTCTGATAATTCTTCAAAGGTTAGATTACCGTTCCCGATACTTTTATAAAAACATCGTTTAAAGAGCCCGATCAACCGCTCGAACTGTCCACCCCACCAGGGTGCGCGACTCAGGTTAAACCTCCAATGGATCTCCTTGTCCGTAAGGAAACCGTTTATGATCTCATTTCCAATTGCCTTTTTCAGCCAGTTTGCCGCAGCCTTGAACGTAGTGGCATTATCTGAGTATATGATTTGTGGTCTCCCCCTTCGAGCGATCAATCTTTTTAGGCTAGGCAGAAATTGGACAACCTCCAATGATTTCAACAGCTCCAAATGAACTGCTCTTGTGAGGCTGCACGCGTAAAGTACCAGATACGCTTTCTTTTCCGCTTTTCCTGCTGTTTTGTATTTGATTGGTCCAGCGAAGTCGACTCCTATCACTTGGAATGGGGTTTCTCCTTGCGTTCGCGTAACTGGTAGTCGTCCAGGCGGTGGTCTGTGATACGCACGAGCGCGGAATCGCACACATCCATGACATTTGCTTCGTACCTGCTTCACAAGGCGACGTAGTCTAGGTATCCAGTATCGCTCACGAACTTCAGCCATGGTCGCCGGTACTCCCCCGTGAAGAGTGATGATGTGCGCTTGTTCGACTAGTTTCTTTGAAAACTGCGAATTTGCAGGCAAGTATACCGGATACTCGCCTTCGATTCGCCCGCGACACTCTAGAATTCCGTTCTGGTTAGGTTGGAGGTTTAGCTCGATTTTCGTACTCTCGAATTCCGGTGCGTCCCTAGCTCCATCTTGAACTCGTTTAATCCACCACAACCGTGCGTCTTCGATCTCCTGCGTCTTTATCGGTCCCAGGGACTTCGCTTTCCTTTGGGTGTGTTGAATGAAGCGGTTAATCCAAGCACAAATTCGAAGGGTTTTCCGCAACGTATACCGCTCTAGTAGTTGGTCAAACACGTCCTCGTGTGCCGTTTGATTCATCGTGACCAAAACTCGCGTCGACGGTTTTTCCTCTTGCTTCGAATCCGAACTCGCCACAGGCACAACTTCCGGTGGCCACGTCTCCTGGTTGTTAAGCCACGTAGGACCGTGCTTCCATAACTCGTTTCCCACCACATCTCCTCCGCGGCTCCCTAGGTCAGCGGGATTCTCGTTCGTTGGGACGTGATGCCATCTGATCCGGTCGAGTTCTTTGACCTTTTTCACTCGGTTGGATACGAATTGCCGGTACTCGCCTTGTCCATTGATCCAATATAACGCGACTGTCGAGTCCAACCAACAGTGTATCTCGGTCACCTTCTCCATTCCGATCGCTCGCTCGACGTTCGTCACTAAGTTTGCGGTCATATGACCAGCGACAAGCTCTAAACGGGGAATCGTGAGGCTCTTCTTCGCAAGTCTGGACTTTGCACACACGATACCTTGGGTTGTTCCGCTCTCTTGCTCTGCGACTGCGTAGACGACCGCAGAAACTCCGTTCTTACTGGCATCCCCGAATCCGTGAAGGGTGATTGACTGTACTGGCTCTCTGTGAGGGGCTAAAGTTCGAGGGACCGTGTACTGGCCTGGCAGGTTTTCGTACCACTCTTTCCACCGTCTCTTCAAAGAACCGTTAAGTTCTTCATCCCAGGCAAGTTGCTCTTCACACATTTCACGGTACAGTAGTTTTGCTACTAGGGTAGTTGGGGAAACCAGGCCGAGTGGGTCGTACACACTTGCAACCTGCGACAGGGCCTCCCTTTTCGTAGATGCTGCGTCTCGTTCTTTGTTTACTACAACACTTAAACGGTCTTGAGCTTTGTTCCAACCCATACCGAGGATCTTTGTCTCAGTCCCCTTTGTGCCCAGCTGCTGTTTCGCGAAGGTAGTTTCCGGGTTGCCCACGTTGCCTTCATTGGCGCTCTGGTCGGTATCCTCGAGTTCAGAGGCGTTTGAGTGCCATTTATGCAGGTGGAAAGTGGCATCCTCAAAAATACTAACCGTCTTCGCTTTCTTCTCTTTGACCTCTTCAACATTACACCTCCCTCCATCACATCATCGACATACAGGCCGCCTTTTATCTCTTCCACCAGAGCCGGATATCTTTCTCCCAACTCTTTAGGTGTTCGTTCAGGACACCTCCAAGAAGGAAGGGAGAACAGGTCAGCCCAAACAGCGCCCTAGTAAACCGATAGACTGTGAGGTCGTCACTATCTGGTGCCTTCCAATGGAAGCGTAGGGAATCTCGTTGGTTTTCGCGTATCCGGACTTGCAGGAAGGCTTTCTCGAGATCAGCGGTCAGCACGATGGGGAGGAAACGTAGACGAACTAAAATATCCCACAGGTGGTTCTGGAGTGGTGGGCCAGGGTTCAAGCATTCGTTCAAGGATGGATCAGATGCCGATTCTTTGGCGGACGCGTCGTAAACGACCCGAAGTTTCGTCGTCTCTGCGGTCTCCTTTACGACGGGCTTGTGGGGAATGTAAAACTCTTTACCCTTTGCTGTGGCAGGTGCTGGTTCGACAATACCTTTCACGAGCTGATCTTGAATAATGTCGTTGTACTCTTTGTAAATTCCTCTTTTCTCGAGACGTTTCACCAGGTTGTTAAGTCTCCTTATGCTTCCTCTTTCGTTCGACGGAAGGTGTGGATGATGCGATTTCCACGGTAAGCTAGTCTCGTACCAGCCTTCTTTGTCGCGTGTGAGCTCGTCTTTAAAATCATCGTAAATCGCTTGAGAGCCTTCCTCGGTGGGATCTTCAAGACCGAGGACGTCTAACCGACACAATCGCTCGAAATCGTTTTGAGATGTTGTGGTCAGTAGCATCGTATTCTGGTCCAACTCGATTCCAGGACTCATGATCATCCAACCAAACCTTGTAAATTCCGCCACGGGATCACCGTCCTTTCCTACCAGGGGTTTGGTCCTTGTTTTTATCCGAGCATACTCGCCGTTTCCCAGCACGAGGTGAATGGGTAGCTCACTCTTTGTGTCGCGTTCGTCCATTTTGACCGAATTCAAATGTTTATATCGTCTCACGAGTTGGTCGTAATTGGGGTTACTAGTTGTCAGAAGCTCGCTCTTTTCAACTTTGTTCAAGCTCACGTTTATTTTGCACGAATCGTCCAAGGAACTAACTTCTACATCGAAAACTTCTATTCGCTTTGTTTGCGAAGTCATCAACATGTCTATTCGCTGGCTCTTTATTTCGCTGGGTTTAATGTTTAACGCGTTGACAAGTTTCGCGGACGCATAGGAACTGCCGGCGCCAGAATCAATAAGTGCGCGAGTCATTACACCATTAACTTTCACAACAACAACTGGAAATATCCCTTCCGCGCTTGCCCCATCTGTCATCACTTTCTTAGCCCCGGGTGATTGGTCCCTTCTTTTGTATGATCTTGACCAGACCTTTCGTCGCGTTCATGCTTGTACTGTTCGCAGATGGATGAGTGATGACGCTTGTTGCAATGCCCACAAGACGTCTTGCTGGCACAGTCCGAAGCTCGGTGAAATTTCGTAGCGCAGTTAAAGCACAAACCCTTTCTTGCTAAAATTTGCTTTCGGTCACTGGGATTCACGACATTTGTGCATGAAACCGCCTTATGGCCAAGATCGCCGCAATAAACACAGCCCAAAAGTTTTTGTTCATTTCCGCTCGCGCGAAACAACTTCTTACGGTAATCATCTTTGCGCGGAGGGTCGCTTTCGTTTACCGGATTGCGTTTTACCCACTGTCGCAATGCCTCAGCTAACTTCTCGAAATCCCATGTTTCCCATTCAGGATCGGTTCTAACTAAATCGCCCCTGATACCTGACAATTTATCTAATGTCATCGAGACATTTCCGTTAACCTGATCGAGTTTCCTCAAGGTCTGCAAGGCTCGCACGCAATAGGTCAAAGTCTCACTAAATTCGGCAATTCTACGGGGGTTACTGTTCGTAATATGAGGTAGATCGAGAATCTCCCTTATATAGCTTTTGACAATCTCGGATTCCTTGCCGTAATTGTCTTGGAGAATGGCTTTGGCTCTATTGTAACCTTCGGTTGAAAAGGGCAGGGACTCGACGCATGTTTTGACCTTTGGACCCAATAATTCTAACAAATACGTAAACTTGGTAATGGGGGCCACGGAACTCTTATCAATCCCTTCGGTAAATTGTCCCCAAAACCTAGGCCAGTCTTTAAATGACCCATTAAACTTCGTAATCACAAGTCTCGGTAACTTTGCGTTTCGACTTGGGCATTCCTGAGTTTCCGGTTTGGGTGGGGTCATTTCCCTTTGCATGCGTAGTTTCTGTTCATGCAACTTTAGTTCTGCTTCACGTTGCTGCTCTAGTCCTGCAGCCTTAGCGTTACGTTTCTCTTCAGCTAACCAATCGCTCAACTTTGAAATCTGTAAATCAGCTACTTCGAGTGTCGCCTCAACACTGTCGCTCCAATCGGAAATTTCGCTCATGCTTGTTTTTCTCGCGATTTTCTGTTCCTCAACTTTGCGCTTGCACTCGTTAGCCGCGGTGTTTACAGATTGCAGTGTTTCGATATGGCGTTTTATAGTTTCACGCTTACCTGTTGCCAGGATTTTATCTGACCTTCTCGTAACCAATTTCAGCTGGGATAATTTCGTCTCCAATTCGATGTCTTCCTTTGTCAATTCTGGAGGTATACTTTCTCCGGTTGGTTGAGCGGCCATCTCCGTAACTGTCTCTCCAGCAGTACTCTCTTTTTCTTCCCATCGTTGTTCAACGAGTTCGCAATCCCGTCTCGGAGGTGCCAGGTGTCGAGAATTAGCCTCCGTTCAGTATCGTTTGTCCTCGACAAGTCTCAATTCACACAAATTCGATTGGGTTTATGAAATATATTGATTAACAAATAAAATTAAAAGTTATACTAAATCTTCACCCAAGATTCACGTTGCAGCTATGTCGAATTAATATCGCGTCTCTCGAGTCACAGACCGTTTCGCACACTATGACCCTCTATCACCAACTGACTCAATTTTGTGCAGATCCCTTATTTTACCCATATTGCTTCCCATTTCTGTGCAGTGCGTGTCATCACCTATTATTTCGTGCGCCCCGTTGTCGCTCAGTCCCGACAGACGTCTGTGCGAAGACGAAACGTATCAATCTCTGTCCGAATTGATGAATTAATATCCATAGAGATTACTGTCTAAATCTTTGAGTATAGGTCGCTAAATTCCTTCGAATCGAATATGCGCGAAGAGCTAATTCTATTATGCAAGTTTCACCATTTCGATGTTACATGAAAACTTCATCGAATATTAGCTTTATAAATATATGCTGTGCGAACAATTCGTAAGCACAATTTTTTTGTCTTTTGCACCACATTTTACACATGCACGTATTTATTTCAGCATGAAAAATGGTTATGTCAAATATAATATGAAATGATTTCTATATAGAAAGCGGTTCAACTCTCACACATGCAGCTGGCCTAATCCAATCAATCAATCAATCAAACAAAAAATTTATTTAAAACACGGTAAAATCTCCAGTATAACAACTTATGAGAGGATTAACATTTGTGACCTTCCACGGGAAAACGTACGTTAACGATATTTCGTTGAAACGGCAAAACGAACGGATAACGAACGGGTAGTGAACGATCTGTAATAACGTTTCAACGAACCCAAAAAACGTTTTGACGAATTCAGCTAAAAATGTGAACGTTTAAAGTCGAGAATACGAACGGATAAATAAACGTTCAATCTGAAGCCGTTTGAACGATTTATGTTTATGAACGGTTTTAACGAATTAGTCTGAACGCCTGTTGCGCGTATGATTGACGCAAGATATTATTGACTAATTAAAAGAATAGGAAATATTTTCAAACACGTAACATGTGTTGGCGCAAGTATGCGTGTACATATAAATAGCTATACCTTCATTTGAATGTTTAACTAAATTTATTAGCTAAACTACCTAAATCACATTATTTTATACTTTATATACATATATACATTTGCATTTTGCATCAAAATTCGGGTTTATTAATCGTTAGAAAGCCTTCAGTTATTAGTACAAATTATCATCGTTACGTCAAATTAATCAATGCATCATCTGCAACTATACCATCAAAATATTCAGCGCGTGTTTATTTGCAACAACGTAACAGATTTTGTAAATCTCTCCACGGACAAACTATATGTATGGGTGGTTAAGGACATATAAACACATCATGCATGCATCCGTTTTATTAACACGGCTCTAAACCGAGAGTAAACGAAGATTGCCATAAATGGCCTGGCTTCGATAATAATATCATAGGCAATGTCATTGGTCACCGTCTAAGTTTGGTTGAGTTTCAGCTACTGGATACATATTTTATGTTAAACTAAACACAAGAGATTCCATTGTACACTATTGCTTATACTCTTTGACGCGCAAACGACTAAATTAATTATCGCAAGGATCAAGTTGTTTACAGATGATAACCAGACATTAATAACAGTTATACAGAATATCGCATACGCAAAGCTCGTTTGTATACGAACCAGCGTAGTAACGTGTGCTTGCATGCTGTCAAAACTTATTTGGTATAAATAGCCTACTACATTAAATATCCCAACCATTTATGCACGTGAAAATCCACATTTCAATTTCAGCAATGCATTGCGCGGTAATAAAATATTTAAAATATAAGCTTGGATATTTACCTAGTGCTCACAATATGTTCCGTGCGGCAATAGCCTCTAGCTGCGGTCAAGCTTGTCGCGGAATGTCGCCTATACACAGTACTGTCAGTAGCAACTAAGGGCATCATTACACCTTAAGAATATTTAAAAATTTGATAATAATCTATTTTATCCACTGCATGCACCATCGCCATATTTTCTTCGCAAAGCTAAAGCTGCAATGTCCCTATTTCTGCCGCCATATTTTTTCATGTAAGTGATATGTTTTGTGACCATACGACCACATATGCATGTGTTACTTGTGATATTAAATTAGCTAACTAAATTCCTGGTGGTCATATTCATCAGGAAATATTTTATTTTCCCCAAATA